CTTCTCTTCCTTCCCACTCAGGCCAAGGCTCCAGACATCTAACTATGGGAATCCCAGAAAACTCCTTCCTAGGTGTTATGGGCCAAATCCTACCCTCTTAATTCATATGTTGAAGTCCTAACCCCCAGTACCTCAGAATGCCGCTATATTTGGAGTTAGGGCTTAAAGAGCTAAGTAAATACAAAAAGAGGTCATCTGGGTAGGCCCTAATCCAATCTGGCTGGTGTCCTTATAAGAGGTGATTAGGACACAGACACCCCATGGGCAGACCAGTGAAGAGACAGGGAGCAGGCAGCCAACTATAGGCCAAGGAGAGAGGCCTTCAGAAGAGCCAACCCTTTAGACAGCGTGATCTCAGATCTCTGGCCTCCAGACTGAAAAAATTAATGTCTCTTGTTAAAGCCACTCACTCAATATTACTTGGTTGCGGCAGCCCAACCTAAGAAACCAGGCGATCGGGATTGCCGTGGGGGGGTGGCAGGGGGATGGGGGGGGGGTCCGTGAAGCAAGGAGTCCCTGGGATGGCAGGCATCCCCGTCCCTCAGCCACCTGTCCCAAGGCCTGGAAGCTTCTGTGCTGGGAAAGTTCTTGCTGTTGATGTCCATCCATCCATCCCCTTTCTTCACTGCCCCTTCCTTCTGGCCTAAATGCACATGAGTCGAAATGGTCCCCAAGCACCACGGTGACCCCGGCCTCGGTCTCCCAGGCAGAGGCACACTCTCTCCCTTTCCCCTCTATTTCTGGTTCGATTTCCTGGGCCAGTCCAAAGTGACATGGGCCACCCTGTGCGGCAGCAAGCTCCCTGTCATCTAAGAGTCTGAGAAGATGGGATGCCACTTGGCTGTCAGACCTCTAGATCCACACATCAGCCCCGTTTCTTCTCTCATGACCCCAGGTGACACCCCCCATCTTGCCACACCTCAGTGTGGCCTCTGGTCCAGCCAGAGCTGAGATCATGCAAAGGGACTGCCTCCCCCTTTGGCAGGTCCCTTCCCCTCCCGAGCCTCAGTTTCCCCACTGATGGGCTCTATGATTGGCCTGGGCCACCCCAGCCTGGGAGGTTAGCCTACAGAGAACAGAAGGTCCCATATGGTTCTTTCTCCCTTCCTTTTGCTGTTGGTATTAGTCAGGGATGTCCTGGCGAGTGGAAGAGTTCACTAAGCATGACAATGCCACACGCCCAAAACCAGAATTGGGAGTTGGAAGGGTGGGGATGCAGGCAGTGAGGAAGGGGTTAAACACAGAACAGTCACGACCCTGGGGGTTAGGTCAGGGTCACCTGGAGGGCTTCCCAGAGGAACAGGAGCTCTAACCCCAGCGCTGGCCACCCCCTCACTACAGGGAGGGGGCGAGGTGGGGCCCAGGCCAGAGACAATTTTTGTTCCAGGGCACCTGGCTCCACGCCCCCACCCTCCCTCCAAGCCAGTTGGTGGGCTCCAGAGGAACTGGCCTGTCCTGGCCCGTCCTACCCACTCTCCTGGCAGGCGTGAAATAGGAGAGGCAGGCTGCTTCCAGAAATGGCCTCGTCTCACCTTGGACACACTACCCTCTCTACCTATTTGGAGAGGCCAGTCCCTTACCAAAGGCATTCCCGAGTGAGCAGCCCCTCGCCCTCGGGGAAGAGACGTGAAGGGACACATACATCTCTCTCTGCTGCTCCTTGCACTGAAGTCCTGCCAGCATCAGAACCGGGGCCAGCCCCGCGGCCTCCGGGGTACTACGCTGCTGCATGCGCTACCACCTCTAAGCCCTCCTCACTGTGAGAGGCAGAACCAGGGCGACCTGGTCTATCCAGGGGTGAGAAGAAGAAGATAAAGCCGGCAGACACTCACCCAGACTCAGCAGGGACCTGGGCATTGCCACAGGACCAGACACCCAGAACAGGGCCCTGGGTCAGGGGTCAGCCAACCCAGGACTGCTCCGTGGTTAGTGCTGGGTCTTCACACCCAGATCCTCTCTTAACTAGCGAGGCAACCTTGGGTGGGTCACTTAAGCCTTCTGTGCCCCAGTCCCCCGATCTAGCCTTAATAATAGCCCACTTCCCAAGGTGCCTGTGAGCATTAGACAAAGTGGTGACTACCAGGTATGGCGCCATGGCTGGCATGTGGCGAAACCAGAGCTGGCTCCCAAGGCCAAAGGGCCTTCTCCCTTAATCCTGTCTGCAGGCCCTTGAGATGCTGCCATGGCAACAACTGATGGGTCTGAGGCTCGTGAGAAAACACAGCAGGCAGCCTCCCCACAACTGCTGATCCCCAAAAGTTGTTCACTGAATCCCCATTTGGCAGCCAAGTAAACTGAAACCCCCAGAGGAGGGCATCTCATTGAAGGACTTGACCCAGGTAGTTCAGCTCCAGAGGCCACATTCTTAACTCTAGAGCTAAACGGCCTCTCGGGAAAACTGCTACAATAACCCAATGACACAGATACTATTACGGTCCCAAGTTTGTAGATGAGGAAGCTAGGACCACAGGAAGGCTAAACAACCTGACCGTGGACGTGCAGCGACAGAGGAGAGGGCTGGGCTTTGGACCCAGGCAGGCGGACTCTAAGGCACATGCACTCACCCACTGCACTGTGGCACCTCAGGGCCAGCTGGCATCCCCTGGGCCAGGACCTCCCAAAGATCCGGCAGGGCCCCCTGGGGCACCAGGTCACCCCCACCAGGCCATTCCCCCAGCCCTGGGACCACTCAAGGGAAAGGCCACGCCCCCTTCCCAGGCTCCAGCTTAAGCCATCTCCTGAGGACCCCCAGAATCTCGGGAGTTAGGTGCCCCTACCCCGGTTGGCACATAGGGAAACTGAGGCACAGGCACTTGTCCACAACTAGGGAGACAGACACAGGCCCCCTGCTTCCCTCTCTTGACTGGGGAATTGGCCAGAAGAAAATGCTTTTTCTCTGGGCCTTAGAATCTAGAAGCTTCTGGAAGTACCCCAGGCAGGAGGAGGAGCAGGATGGGGCTAATGCTCCTGTTCCCCGCCCCCGGGGCTGGTCAGTTTGCTTTCCTGTCCCTGAGGGGAGGTGTGGCCGAACAGCAGCAGGGAGCACACAGTGGGACGGGCGGGCGGGGTCTGCCCCTGACCACCCAGCTGCTTCCCATGCCCACCCTATAGGCAAAGAGCCAGCTTCTCAGCCTCCAGACAGGAGCCACTCTGTCCCCACAGGACGAGCTGCCCCTTGACTGGCCAAAAGGTCCCACTGGTTCCATCCCCTGCCTAGGGGAGCAGATCACAGGAGAAAGGAGGGCAGGCCAGGGGGTGGGACAGGAGTCCAGGGCTTCCAGTCACCCTCTCCTCCTTCCCCCACCCTCACTGTTCCCTCTGCCCCCCTTCCTTGCCTCACCGCCAGCCCTGGCCTCCCATAGCCACTCCTTCTTCCCCCTTAATTATTTTACCTTTTATTTGCCTGGCACTTTACAGAGTTTACCAAATGTTTTTACATTTATCATCGCACTGAATCCACACCAGGGAGAGATGGAAAGACATTGAAAATTCCTTCAAATTGCCAAGTGTTCTTGTTAAAAATGCAAACATCCCCAGAAGATGAACAATTAGGCTGACAGCCACCGGTACCTCAGGACTAATTCGTTTCATCCTCTGCCTCCTCCTGCCCCTCCTCAGCCACTCAGCACAAATGGATGGGGCTGGGGCAGCGGGGAGGGGGAAGGAGCGCTTTGGGGGGGCTGCCTTGGCGGGGTGGGGGAGGCTCTGGTGGGTGTCTGCATGCCAGGGGGGAGGAAGGGGAGATAGGAGGACAGCCTTCAACTTCGCAATGCTGCACATAAACAACGTGCTCTCATCAAGCCCAACTACCGCCCTCCTCCCACATCACTCATTCTGGTGCCTCCAAGGTCAGAGGGAGAATCTTTATGCAAGAAAAGGCATAAAAGATGTTCAGAGTGGAGTCCACAAATCCAGAACCTTAGAGAGGGAGGCGGGAGGCAAGGTGAGGGGCCTGGTTCTCCCCAACACAGCTCTGCTACGTGGCCCAGGGTCCCCAGGACAGGGCAGCCCCACCCCAGAACCAGTTTCAGCTGGAAGCAGCAGCCCAGAGGCTGGGCACTGGTATCCTTGAAAGGCTGCATCCTGACCATGGGGATAAATCAAGGGGGTCTCAGTCACCCCAACTGAAAACTGATGGAGGGGTGGGCCGATGGTCCTGAGGGTCCTCCCAGCTCCCACATTCCACAGTCCAGGGACCAAATCAGGGAAACGCCTGTGGCCAAACCCCAGACAGAGTGTCTCAAGAGTTCCTGAGCTCCAGGCAAGCTCACTTTGGAGGCCCTGCCCCGCATCCCATCACACATATTCAAATGAACCACATAAATAAATATAACTCCATATATAGCTCTCAAGAGCTGAACGGAGTTGCAGTTGACCATCTGACATAATGTTAGGTTTTACAGCTAAACATGTATTAATTTCCATTCTGTAGCTGTCTTTTCAAATTTTGGAGCCTATCTGTTTGTTTCCAACTCTCAAACATTTTCGTTGGCTGTCGATAAAAGCCTGCGGGCCCTCGATGCTCTGTCCGCATTCCTAGTGCTTTGAGCCCAGAGAACTCAGGCAGCGAGCCTGGAGAAATGCAGCAGCAGATTTTAAAAGAAATCTAACAAAGGCTGCGGCGGCATCACGGGGGGTACCTCAAGGTCCACTCCAGGCTACCTCCCCTAAGGAGCCCTCCCAGGCCACTCCAGCTAACAAGGATACCTCCCCTGTGGAGCACTTGCCATCTGTGGGACTCATTTGGCACCAGTGACACCTCCTTGTGTGGCTGTTTGGCTGTGTGTGCGTGTGTGTATGTTTTAGCTCTGCCTTCCTTATTTAACACATTCATTTTTGCCTTATCATCTCCCACAAACTGTGAGCTCTCAGAGGTGCCTTGACTTCTCTGTCTCCCCTTTGAACCCAGTATGGTGTCAATGCCAAACAAGAGAGCCGAGGGCCCGGGTGCAGGGGCTGTGCCACTTGGAGAGCGGCAGGAGGTCACTGGTCCCACCTACCCTCCATGCCGTCATCACGGTGCCCGTTGAAGTTGTCATAGGAATCCCAGCGGATGAGGGGATCAGAGGTGTTGTAGTCCACTGACACACTCGGCCCGTTCTCCAGGTGTTCCATGCCTGAAAGGATGGGAAAGGGCAGGCGGACAGTGAGAAAGAAAAAAGAGACCGGCAGCTGGATAAACAGAGGAAGCCGACCAGATCCCCCAAGGATGCTCTCTGAGGGACTTCTCATTTTCTTGACCTTGGCGGGGCGGGATCAGTGGCTTAAGCTGGACAGAGAACCCAAGGGTCTGGTTTCCTGCATTCTTGAAAAGGCGCATACCAGGTCACAAGGGTAAATCAGGACAGGGCACTGAGGAGTGAAGGCCCCCTCCTCCAAGAGAAAGCTGAGGGACCCACTGGATGAGTTCTGCCCCTTTCTTCTGTGTCCCAGGGGCAGTGCACAGAGGCCAGAGTCTGCCCTGGAGTCAGGGGGAATGAGGGAAGAGAGGGCTCACAGCCTTGACATTGAGAAGACACAAGGTCATCCAGGCCCTCCTTCTGCCCCCCTTCTTAAGGCGCTCTCCACTCTAGGCAGGGATCTGAGGGGAGAGGCAGAAGGCCTCCTACACACCCAGAGGAAGCCCAGAATGAAGGCAGCGCAAGCCACGTGCAAGGCAGACAATCTGGGGTGAGTCAGTCACCTTCCTGACCTGGCAGTCCTTTCTTTAATCCATCTAGAGTCCCTCTGTCTGTAACCAAACTTCATGTCCTCCATTCTGTCCTCAAATAAGATGGAGAACAACTGGTCTCCACATATAACCAGTCTAAAGGCTTAAAGGCTATTATTAAATTCGTCTTCTCATCTTCAGGTTGAATCACCTCGGGTCTCAGAAATATATATCGTTTATCCAGCACCTTTGAGTGTCCCCTCAGCCACTCCCTCCAGCCTCCACGTCCCTTGGTCTCTAAATATAAGCAGATGATGACCTAATGGGACTAAAACAGTTTATCCAACCCAGCGCCTCTCTGTCTGCTTTTTTATTTTTATTACCCCGAGATTAAGTCACTGGCTCATGTTTAGCTAGGGGTCTACTATGATACCCAGATCTTTTACTGTAGGCCTGTCTTTCAATCACAGGTAGCTTGACAATCATAGAGAAGATCAGTGGCAGAATGGTGAAGGCGGGCTGGAGACAGGCCAGGACAGAGGGAAGTAAGTGGATGATGAATGGATTCCAACTTGACTTATACCTTGAATTTTCTCTGGTCCATAAGAAAATACAAATTCCACCTTGCCATATTCTGGAAATCGATCATCTGAAAAAGGAGAAGGAAAAACAAAGTGGGCAATCCGTTTCAAAAAAGAACTCCATAAAAAGTTCCCTTCTGGAAAAGATTGAAGTAATACACATGCACACATTGATTATATATTGTTATTATCAGCCTCAGTCCTAGTTACCCGAGGTAACCACTTCTAACTATTTCTATTTCTTGTTCTACTAACAGTCACCTCTAAGAGTCTAAATAATGGCCACAGTTTTTATGCCATTGTTTCTAAATATATCAGTTTTTTAAAATCCTCACTGATTCACCACTGTGAAGATGAATAATTTAGCTAATTTATACAACTCTCACCTCCCTTCTCCTAAAATCTGGTATTACTATTCTTATCATCATGATCATTTATTGTAAGGATTACCTTCAAAACTTTAAATACTATAGTTAAGTCTCTATTTCTTGATCTGTCCGTTTTTGGTAGTATCCTGACTCTCTCTATGCAGGAGGAAGAATTTATGCCCCTTTCTTTCTCCCATCTCTCACCAACCCCACCTTCATTGTGGCAACTCTTCCTTTATTTTTCCTTGTCACAATTGGTAACATTTATTCTGTTCCATAATTATAATGCATCTTCTGCTTGTCCCCTCTTGGCCCCAGTGCAGGGACACATCCCTCTCCCACACAGCCAGACCGCCCGGGGGGACCGCACCCCTCCTCCTCAGAGTCCCAGCCCCACTCTCTGCTCTCCGCCTGAGCCCAATCTGGACACAGATCACCATACACTGCTTATAGCAAGTGAAGTGACATCGGGGACGGTGTCCACTCCCTGGGGCACCGGTCATACCTGTGCATGTCTCTGTCACTGCAGGCATTACTTCATAGTGACATGTTGTGTGTCTTGTTCTCCCACAAGACTGAGCTCCCTGAGATTATGGATTCACCTCTTTCTCTTTGTATCCCCAAGGTCTAGCACATACCTGGCACAGGTACACACAAGTGCTGCTTGGTGGATGGATAGATAGACAAATGAATGGAATGATGGATGGATTTGGATGTGGGGATGGATGGATGGATGGATGGATACATTGACTTGGATGGGTGGGTAGATTGGTAGGTGAGTAGATGGCTTGATAGATGGACGAATGGATGAGTGGGTAGCTAAATGTATGGACGGATATATGTGGATGGACGAGTGGATAAATGGACAAATGGATAACTTTAGACGGGTGGGAGGGTGGGTAGGTGGGTAGATGGAAGGGCAGATGAATGGATGGATAGATGGATATGGATATGCCCCAGTCCTGAATGTAAGAGAGACAAAACCTTAAATGGATAGAGAAAAGAAAAAAGGGAAACACCTCCCTGACCAGCTCCCCTCCCCTGAGAAAACAGCTACCTCTTCACTGCTGCCATGCCCCCCTCCATAACTGCTCTTCTACCCTGTAACAGAATGATCGCTGGCTAGGGCCACCTCTCCACTCAATGGGCCCACCTTTGAAGGCATCATCAAGGTCCTCCTTCCCAAAGACAACCCCCAGGTCATGGATGGCACAGGTGTGGAACTGCACGCGGAAGATGACATCCCGGGCTGGGCTCCGGAACTTCTTATGGTAGCACTTGAGCTGTACAAGGAAGAGAGCAGAGCCCCTTAGTGGCCTGATGGTGGGGAATCAGGTCCCAGGGAGCTTCTTTAGCAGCCCCAGGACTGGGCCCCCCAAGGCTCACCCCAAACCCAGTGAGAAAGAGGTCACCAACACCAAACAGGATCTCAGAGCTCTCTGGGGAAACTTCTAGAAGAGCAGAGATTTGGAGGCCAGTCTTACCCCAATGGGGACAAAAATACCTCTCAAGAATTTCCTGCATACAGATCGGAATGGAAAAAATAGGAGCAGATTCAAACTGATGAAGGAAGGGCAGACTTTAGAATTGAGGGAGTCCTTGTCACCAATCAGAAGCCAGAAGGTAACAGGCCCCGCTGAGAGCTACTTCCCTGGCATTGTTCCAGAACAAGAGGTAAGCCCAGTGGAAGGGATGTCCAACTCCAAGGCAGGAGAATGAACAAGGATTGTCAGAGGTTGGGAAGCCTTGCAAGAGACCTGAGAGCCCGCAATCCCAAGGCTGGTGGCCACCAGGAGTGAGAGGCAGGAGGAAAGCAGGAAGAGAGAAGGGAGAAAAATAAACAAAAGAGTTGGGGCTAGAGACAGACAGCCAGTGCTCACCAAGATGTCTCCCTTCAAGAGCAGCCCAGGCTCGATGGTGATGCAGATGCTGGTCTGGCTGTCTCCTTGGACGTTGCTGGGGGGAAAGGTGGGCAAAGGGAATAAGGGGCTGCTGCGGGGGGCAGGCAGTGCATTTTCTCCCTGCTGCCCCTCTACCACCAGGTCACTGGGAAACTTTGCTGACTTTACCTACCCCTAGCCCTCTCCCATAAGAGATTTAAGGAGGCCCCCAACCCACACACACATCCCTGCTTCTGGTCCTCAGCCTCAGAGCCGTGGCATCCAGACCTCTCATTCCCCTGGAATACTTACTAAATGCCAGACGTGTAAACAGGTTGCATGGCCTGGTAGATCCGGAGAAAGGGCCGACACCCTGTAGGGGAAGGGCGGCGTTAGCTGACACAGCAGGACAGTGGGGGCAGGAAGAGGGAGAGGAGAGAGTGAAGGAGGTGGGGAAGAAAGGAAGGAAGTGGGGAGAAAGGGGAAGGAGAAAAAAGAGGAAGGAGCAATGGAAAGAGAAAGGAGAAGAAATACCAGCTTTTCATTGGAAAGTCATTTTAAGTTTACCAAAACATTGTCACATCCAACATCTGTCAGCAGGCACTGCAAGTGTCAGACCTATTTTGCAAATAAGTAGACTGGGGCTAAAGAAAGCTCAGGAAGTGAGCGGCTGCGACTCCAATCCAAGCCTACATTCTTACCACCTATGGCTGCCTCTTCAGAGGAGACGGAAAACAGGAGGGGGTGGGGAGCCAGAGGGCTGGAGCCCTACCTCCTTTAGACTCGAAGTTGGGGATGCCGTGCATGATCACGTGGTGCAGAAACAAGGGCTTGTTGTTCATTTTGATGGTGCCAGAGAGCAGGCCGCTGAAGTAATGCACGTACCTGGAGCAGGGACAGGGGCAGCTTCAGCCCAGGAGGCCTGCTCTGGAGCAGAGCCATCCCCTGTTCTCTTTTCCCCCAGAACACTGCCCTACGTTGCCCCACCAAGCTCCCCGCCCATACCCCTGGCCTCCCTGTGACTGGGGTCTCAGCCCAGCACTGACCTCCCTTGCTGCCTGAAGCTCCCAGGTAGCAAGGGCAAGCAGGCACTATTAGACATAGAGCTGGGTCTAGCCAAACTCCTAACTTGGGGTTCTCCAGCGACCCCTGGTGGTCAACGTGAGCATCTCCATCCCTGCTTCATTCCCAGCGCAGGAATCTCCTGCTGGACCAAAGTTCCTCCCCGACACCGCTGACAGGTATCCTTGAACTGTTCACTACTACACAAGGTAGGCTGATGACCATCAGACAGCTCTGGCACCCTTATACCAAGCCCAAACCAAGCTGACATTTATACCCACAGGCCATGAGTCAGCTCCACACAGCCCCACCAGCCCACATGACACTCCAGAGAATAATAAAAGCATAATAATTATAGGCTTTCACTTTTTTATATCATGCTAAAGGGTAGGAGAGTCCCTCTAGATCATTTCATTTGGTTTTGGAAGATATCTAACTTCCACTAAGTACTTCTAGTTCTAGGGTCAACATCTCCCAATTCTTTTAACAAAGATCTTGTTGGAAGACTGGAAGGATTAACCTATTCCCACTCCTTCTAAACAGAAATGAAAAATGATGTTCAGAAAGGGTCATTAGCCTCGCAAAGATGCAGCAAGAAATACAGAGCTCAGAATGAATGGGGAAAGAAGGAAAGAAGTCTGACTCCAATCCATCTGCCAAAACAGAGGCTAATCCTTCTGCCATTGGCCAGCACTTCCTTCTTTTCTGACTGGCCAGAGGACAGTAAGCTGGATCAGCTGAACCAATCAGAACACACCTGAGACTCCAAGGGAGCCAACACGGGCTTTTGAGGTGGGTGGGACCAAAACCCAAATGACCATGATAAGAGTTCCCTCCTATATCTCGACTCCTTGGCCCACCTCCAGGCCTGTGGGCCTCTGTCCCTGGGCCGGGGTGGGGCCACCTTGGACAACCCAGGCAAGATAATCTGATGGGCAGCGCCAGCTCCTATTCAGTCCCCTGCCCAGCCCCCAGCCCCATTACTCAAACCGGAAACCTGGAATGGCGAGTTCCTATCAGAACTTCTGATCGTGCCAACAGGATGTGTCTGTGTGCTGGGGACAATGAGTCCGGAGGTGGGGTGACAATGAATGGGAAAGCTGCAGGCCAAGCCCCTCCCTCTCTCTCTCCCTACCCTCTTCTCCTCCAACTGCCTCATTCCTTACCAGTGACACTGACAAGAAGGCGGGAAATGCATGGTCAGTGAACGCATGGTAAACCAACAGTTGCACTTTCACATTTGGGTACAAACAGAATTATCCACCCATAAGCAGATGTGGGCGCAGATATGAGCTGCAAGGTGGACACAGTTAACGTAAACACGCAAACACACGCTGAGCACTGTGGAATCCCTGCGTGATCCTATGCCTGAGAGGTAGCACTGATCTCGCTTCTCAAGGTCTCCAGCTTCAGAAATGTGACTACTCTGCCTGCTCTCTCCAAGCCACACTGTGCCACTGTAACAACATGCTCCTCTATTTGCATGCCTTCTCCTTCAGGGGCCAGGACCAGACTCATGGCCAAGGCCAGGCAAGCCAGGGACTGAGGAGCAAGTGCTTGAGCAATAGTTCTTCCCTGGGAACACTCGCATTGATCCCCAGCTGCTGCGTCTGGCAGCCTAGCCCGGGATTTTCTGCACGTAAAGACATCCGGTTTCTGATCCAGCTGACCTGAGGCTGGCCACCAGCTGCCCTGTGCCAATTGTAAGACACTGGGTTGCCTGAGGACTCACTCATTTCTGCTAGGGCTTCCCGCTAAAATGGCAGAAGCAGTCCCCAGCGGTGCCAGCACACTTCTAGAAAGGCAAGCAAGGTAAGAGCAATGTGAGTTGGGGACACCCAAGCATGGAGAGTCTGGGAAGCCCCAGGACGTGCAGCGAGAGGGTCCTGCTTGCGAAGTGTTCTGTGGGGCTAGAAAACTCAATGGCGCAGTGTGGCCTCCAGGCCTCAATGCCCCTGCTGTCCCCTCTGCCTAGACCCTCTATCCCAGACCAACACACAAATGCTTCCTTCTCAGATCTCACATCACATGTCACCTTCTCAGAGAGGTTGGTCCCTTTAAATCAGTCTCTCATGCCCACTCCCATCACTGTCTCACCCATCACATTCCATTTCTCTGAAATGACCTTGATGGCTTATTTCTGTGGTGTCATCCACCAGAAGATAAGCCTTGCCTGAGAGATTCGGCACCATAGCCCCAGTGGGTAGCCCAATGTGACATACCACAGACAGGTGTGACAGACCCACAGCTCTAGCCACTCAGGGTGCAGGGCCCAAGTCCAACTCTCCAGCTCTCCCCTCTGGACCTGGGTTTCCACCATTCTGGCTCCCACTCACCTGCAGCCTCCCAAGGCCCACCTGGTCCTGACACTGCCTGTGCCTTCCTCTGGATCAGACGCCACTAAACAGCATGTTATCCTGGAGCTGAATCCAGGGGTGGCCCTCAGGACGGTGGGTGACACAAGCAGGGGGTAGGTCCCTGAGTACATTCTGGCTCTGCCACTGTTCTCCGTGGACCCTGGTCATGTCATATCCCTTCCCTCTAGGCTCAGGCTCCTCTCCTGCAAATGGGGAATGCCCTGGCTCATCATGTGGCAGCTCATCATTATTCAGCTTTGAGCTCAAATTCACCTCCTCTGAGAGGCATCCCTTGGCCACAGTCATTAACACAGCCCATTCCCGTCCCATGAGCTCTCATCTCTGCAGAACTCCAGCTTCTTCCTTTCCTAGAGCTAATCACCATCTGAAATTGTCATTTGTGTATTTACTGGGGTCATGCCCACCCTTCTCAATAGAATATCAGCTCACTAGGAGCAAAGGACTTTGTCCTATTCAACTAGGTATCTCTAGCACTTGGAATATAGCAGACTGCCTATAATTTGCCAAATGAATGACCGAGCCAGTCCCTGCCCTGCTTCCTGCCTGGGCTGTTGCGGACTCCAATGAGACCACGTGGCTGAGTGTCCTCGATAAAGTTTTTAAAAGCTTTCCCAGAGCATATGTGTCCCTTCAGGGCAGGGACCTCAGCTTCTTAAAGATTCATCCAAACACTGAAGCAATCCTGTTTCCAGGACCAAGAATGGCACTGTCTTCTCATACAATCTGCCCTCCTGCACCCAGACCAGTAAGTCCCCCACAGATGCCTCCACTGCTCTCCAGCACCAGCCTTAAGAGCCAATGGCTCTGTCTACCTGTGGGCACATTCACCCATGTCCCTGAGCTCAGACCCCTCCAGGCTGGCCCCTGAACATGCATGTTTGGTACACCCCCACCGAGGCACACTGTTCCATCCCCAGTGGGTACACGAGGCCAGTCCCCACATACATGCCCTGGGCTGTGAGACCCACCTTCTCTGAGATGGCTGGCCAATGGGTACAATCTTATCCTCATAGAACCTCTTCATTGCAAACCGGTCCAGGGCCTGGTCGGCGCTAGAGGGACAGACAGGCGGTCAGAAGAGCCAACATCTAAGTCCAAAAGCCCCTTCACCACCTCCCCACCCTCCAGACCCATTGAGTCCTCCAGCCACCCTGCGCTGAGACCCTTTCAGAAAGGAGAACCTCGGCATCTCTCAATCCTGTGTGCTGCACAGGGGTTGGCACCACACAGCTGGGAGCCCATCTCTAGTCCCCCCACTTAATTACCATCTCTGCATCTTGGGGCAAGTTACTGATCTTTGTGAACCTGGCGGCGGGGCAGGGGGCGGGGGGCGTGGTGTGTGTGTAATGAGAGTGATAGCCGTCTTCCTCAAAGTTTGTTATGGCGAGCTAACATCCCTAAAGAGCTTGAAACATATAGGCACATCGGAGATGCACAGCCAAGTGCTCGCCATTCTGCCAAGATCAGGCTAAGATAAGAGTTCTTAAAGTTGTAAAATTGCCACTCTACTGGCAAGCCCTCTGCAGAACATTCTCCCCACCCTCAAAGAGTGTTCAGAGAGATCATTTAAAAATGTAGACAGATCACATAGCTCCCCCCCGTCTTGACTCTCCCAACGACTTCCCATTACTCTTAGAATAAACCCCGAAGTCCTTATCAAGTCCTACAAGGCTCCCAGGCTCTGCTGCCTTCCAGCTTCACTTCCTGCTTCCCATCCTCTCACTCACTCAGCTCAAAACACGCCAGCCCCTCACAGGAATTCCCACCACAGGTCTTGGGCCTTTCTTCTCTCTGCCTGTAAAGTTCCTTCCCAGAATTTACATGACTCAGCCCGTCCCTCCCTCCTCCCCTTAATTCGGGTCTCTGCTCAGATATCGCCTTCTCCAGAGTCCTCCTCTGACCACTGTTGTGCTCTGGTCTCCATTCTTTCACGGAACTTATCACCTGCTATTACTGATATACGTGTTTATTGATTTAATGCCCACGAGGACAGTGGCAGGGTTGTGCCCGCTGCTGTATTCCCAAGCCTAGCACAGCGCCATGGCTGGTCAATAACATCTGTCGAATGAATAAACAGATGAGTGGGTGGGTTCCTCTGCTTCTCTGCAAAATGGAATAAAAATGGGACTCCTCCACTGCTTGTTTACTAGTCCTGCTCCAAAACACCTAAGTGGGAAACGGCCCTGCTGGCCAGAGACGGGGGGATAGACAAGGTCATTTCTGGATGGCTCGGCTAGCCCCAAATCTGATCTGGCGTTTCTTTCTGACACCCTTTCTGCTCACCCCGGGAAACAGAAATCAGTTTGGCAAGAAAAAGTGGCCCCAAGAAGCTGGCTAGAAGGTGTGTTCATGGCTGGGCCAGGCTCCCAACGATGCCCCGACCAGGGCCTACAATGGAGGGATGGGCTCCCCTCTCTCCTGCCCTCCGTCCACAGGCCCTTACCCGTGAGATGCGGCTGGGCACCTTCCTTCGGTGGGCTCTTCCTCATCCTAAGCCCCTCTCACCCCCTCTGTCTTTATTCTTGAGCCCCAAGGAAGGGACAGGTTCTGGTGGGTTGGGGAGGGGGCTTCTGCTGTCAACATTCAGAGAATGGGTGGCTCAGGGGCCCTCTTACCTGGCCGAAATGTTGCTGTAGTGCATGTAAGCGGCGATGACAACTCCTATCCTTCCTCGGTTTCCCTGAAAGAGCCCCCAAGCACAAAAGCCTTTATTTCTAAAGCCAGCCTACTGCTCCAAAGTCCATTCAGAAGCCTTGGGGGAAAGGGAGCAGGGGCTAGAGAGAAGATATGGCTCTAAGGGGGAACAGGATGAGGGAGGGGAGAAGGTGGGGGCTGAGTCTCAAAAGAGAAGAATGCAGCTGATCACCTACAACCCTTGAAGGCCCAACAAGCTGGTACCCCACACTTCTTGTGGGTGCCCTTGGGACAGAATCTATCATGCCCTAGGAAGGAGAATACACACAGACGTACACACTCACACAACCCAATGATACAGACAAGTATATTCCCTTGTCCAAGGATATATTCATGCATCGGCACGCGCGCGCGCACACACACACACACACACACACACTCACACACCCTGCAGCCCCCGCTCTGACCTTGTTGTGTAGAACGACGACATTGTGGGGGTCTGCATTGAGCCAAGTGTCCATGGCTTTGCAGACACTGCAGATCTTCTCCAGGGCTGGGGTGTGGAGGTCAGGCCAGCCAAATTCCAGTACCTGCGGCCCAAACCAAGAGTGAGAGACGGCAGAAGCTGGGACAGTCAACCAGGGCAATGGCGGCCGCACACACCCCACATGCCAGTAGCGGGGCAGTGGCCACCAGCAGCTGGGCCTCGGCTCCTGCCCTGCTCATCAGCCCAGCTGGGAGGTGGGGGGTGTGGGGGGCAAAGGACAATGGCCAGGACCAGAGGCCCTGTGCCTGAGTCTCAGTTCTGACACTGGCTCGCTGAGGGGCCTGCGGCCAGTCTTGGCCCTTCTCCCAGCCTCAATTTCTCATATGTGTATAAAAAAAAGGCTTGGGGCAATGACCTCAAAATGTAATGGGACTCCCAGCACTGTCCCCAAGTTCTACCCCCACAGACGACCCCAAGGCCTGGCTCAGGGCAAAGGAGGGCAGAGCAAAGGGCTCCTGGCTGGCCATGGCTCTTTTCAGGCCCCAGCCACACACAGCATTGACTTCTTCAGACCAGCCCAAAGAAGCCTGCAGGGGGCAGAGGACAGGTCTAAACAGTGGTCTCCAGGCTCCTCAAAACTTTTCTAAATTCACAGAACTTTATAGCAAAAGTGAACTTCTGCTTAGCAGGGCCCAAAGAGTATATCTAAGCCAGCTTGTCCACTTCCAGAGGTACAAACTGAGGCCCAGAGAAGTATGTCACCTCCCCAGGGTCACACATAGCAACAGGGACCAGAGCCCGGGAGCCGGGAGCAGGCCCCATGCCAAGTCCTGCACACAGCCCACCAGGCAAGCAAGTGAAAGCGGGCGGTCCACGTCCACCATTCCCAGCCAGTTTAAATCCAAAATGCCTTTCAATAAAACTAAAAACCTCACAGTTCCAACCTCACCCCAGAGATGCTATGTGCCCCCCAGGGGAGGCAGACCTGGGTGGAAATCACTGTATCAAGTTTTGTTTTCTGTGATTTCTATTATGGAAACAATGAATAGATTCTTTCCCATTTTCTGAATAGAAGGGGGGGCTATAATAGGCTTTGCAAATCATCCCCACTCAGCATGGGCTCACCTTGGCGTGGAGCTTCGTGATGTCAGGTCTCCGCTCAGAGAGGTTGAAAAGCTGGAAGGGAGAAAAGGAAGAGGTTGTGCAAAGTGTCACATGCTGCTCTCACCATTGCTGGAAATTCTACCCACACGTAAGCAAACATAGGATCCTATCAGACACGCACACTGACCAACAGAAACTCAACTATAGGTTCTCAGGATAAAGAGGGCAGGGAGAGAGACGTATGGACGCTCAGCCGCTCCCCTCAGTGAGGGGACATCCAGAACTAAAGACTAGAAGGGGATGGAACCTTTCTTGGGTCCCATGTGCCTCCCCCAAGGTGGGGACCTCCCCACACTGAATGGAACCTGGTGGTGTTCAATGTTAAGTATTTGGTCTCCTCTCTGGTGTCCATTCCACATGCGGACTTCAGAACCTCACTCCATGAAGGTACAATGGCTCTGTGGTCAGGCACCCTCCATTGGAGGCTGCCAATCATCCTGGATGGACCTTCTCAGACCCTCGACGCCCCCCCTGCCCCAGCAGACGCTCTCCAACACCAATTCACATCCCATGAGAATCCCCCAGTCTCTGGAATTCCTGTCTCCACCTCCATCTCCCTGCCTGGGAAACTCAAAGACCACTGTGTTCTCTCTGGGGAGAAAAGATGACCCTGCAGTCTAGAATAGGCAGGATGGAGGGAGGATGGCAGAGACCCATGAAATCCTGGACTCCCAAAATCAGGAAAGACCTTAGGTGGCTTTTAGTCCACGTTGGAGCCCAATAACAGAACATGCTACACTATATCAATAAAAGCTACCACTCGAGTATCCACGTCCTGTCATCCTGTGCTAAGAACTTGATATCTACCAGCTGGTTTCATTCTCTCAACAACCCTAAGAGGTGGGTAATATTATTAGGCCCATTTTACAGTGGGGATCTTAAGGCTTGGTGAGGCAAAGTGGCCAAGATCAGCTGCCTAGTAGAGTAGAGCCCACATTCCAACCCCCAGGGCTTTCTGATGTTTAAAACCAGTCTCTTAACAATGTCCGACACAGTTAACGGATAGGTGTCTATAGTGGGCTGAATAGTGTCCCACAAAAAGTCACATCCACCTGCAACTTCAAAGTGCAACCTTATTTGGATGTAAGAGGTTAAGGATCGGGAGATGAGATCATCCTGGACTTGGGGTGGGCCCTAAATCCAGTGGCTGGTGTCCTTATAAGAAGAGGAAAGGCCACACAGAGAGTCACAGGAAAGAAGGAAGGCCATGTGATGACAGGGAACAGATATCGGAGCCATGAAGCTACCAGCCAAGGGTCACCGAGGATACCGGAGCCACCAGCCACTAGGAAGAGGCAGGGCAGGTTGCTTCCCTACAGGATTCAGAGGGAACATGGCCCTGGCAACACCCTGATTCCGACTCTGGCCTCCAGAACTGTGAAAAATTAAATGCCGTTGTTTTAAGTTCCCTAGTTCGTGGTAATTTATTACAGCGGCCCCAGAGACCTAATACAGCCTCCTGAAGCTACCTCTGCTCGAACATCCAAGGGCAGCCCCACAAGGCTGCACAGTCTGGTCTACAGGTCCAGTCCACATGGACCTCCCTGTAAAGCGGACCTGCACCTTCCCCAGGGGCCGGGACTGGCCCAACCCAACACCCGGGCCAGACTTTCTGACATTAGAGGGAACCACTGGCAGTCACTTCATCCACATTTGTGAGGTGATTCTCTTAGGCCAGGTACAATCCCAGTGTCAGCAGCACAAGGTCCCTTAAAACGCACTGTGCCACAACTCTGCTCTACGAGTTCTCAAAGGCGCCAACAATGTGCCTGGTCTGCCACTTCCTGACACTGCGAACTTAAGCAGATGCCCCTCCTCTCTGAGCTCTGACAAAACCTCGTTTCTAGGGCTGTCCTGAAGGTTCAATACATGGAGGCAGTTGGAACAGGGCCTGGCTTGTAGTAAGCGCTCAATAACGTGAGCTCTTATTGTTATTCTCTCCTCCTGGTCAACACACACATGCACATACATGCATGCACATATGCACTCATATACATGTGGGCATACACATACACGCATGCATGATACACATGCACACAGACACACAAGCACACACACAACTTGGTTCCAGCTGCTGCATTCCAGCCACAGATTTACCTTATAGCAAAGTTGGGCTAGAGAGGGAATGAAGATTCCAGCCACGAGAGACACCCAGGGCCAAGTGCAAGTGAAGGAAGAGAGAAGGAAGAGCCGGCCCAGGGTGGGTAGGCTGGGACCCCAGCAGAGGGTGGCAAGCAGAAAGGGCAGAGGGGCACTAGAAAAGTGGGCGAGGGGCCTGTCCTCACCAGGTAGTTGCCTCCATGTTTGGACTTGAGCATCTGGGCCACCTCGCGGAGGTTGCTCCGGAAGTTCTCCTCATTGGCTGTGCTGGGGAAGGAGACGGCGATGATCCTCTCTGTGACATATACCAGGTCCAGCTCACAACTGTCCTCCATGGTCCGGCTCACACTCATGTTTCTGGGGAGACTAGCAGAGAAGGGGTTCCAGATGAGAATCTAGCCCCGAGGCAGGAGGCAGGTATCTGTACCCCTTACACACTGTGCATCGCCTCCACAACCAATCCAGGAGAGCCTGGCTGCTCCCTGGCCCAGAGCCAAGGTCAGAGGCTGCCCCTGGCAAGGCCAGTGCAGCCAGCAAGGCCAGCCTGGGGCCCGGAGAGAACAGAGCTGGGCAGGGGCTGGCAAGGATCTCAGGCCGTGCCAGAACCAAAGAGTGATGACACCAATCCTGGGTTCCTATCAATTCTGTTGGCACTGCCCTCACCCTGATCCCAGAAGTCAGAGCCAGGGCCCCAGGAGTCCAGCTGTACCCCCGACACACGGCAGCCACCTGGTCTGGCGGACGTGTCTCAGAGGGCCCTGGGACAGCTCCAGGAGAGGAAAGAGAGGCTGAGCTGGGTGCTCTCCAGCATCCCGGGCTGAGCGTTCTGCTGCCCTCCCCTGGCTCCGGGGCTATGCAGTGGGCAGGGAGGCCTCTCAGGGGAAGGGGCAGCTCAGGTGACAGGCTCACCTGGGCTCCGGGTAAGCCAGACCTCAGCGCACATTCCAGCCCTCCCCGGAGGCAGGCCAGCTCCTGCCCTTTGTTCCCTGGCTCTCTCCCACCTCTGGCAGCTCCCACCGCCTCCAGGCCTCCCTGATCTCTAAGGGCCCAGCAAACAGAAGGCAGAGAGCCTTTGCTGCTGTGGCAGAGGCAGGCGGCCTCCAAACATCCCAACACCATCTGAGCTCCCTGGAGAGGTGGAGAGCCCCCTGGGCTGGTCACTGGATGAGGGGAGGTAGGGGGTCACATCTTGATACCTCGCCCAGCTTCTCTTCCAGGGGAGGAGGGCCCAAGGTGCCCACGGGGGCGCTGATGGGAAGGGAAAATGGATCTTGAGACACTGGAATTTCATTCTGAAGCCCACAGTAGCTCCGCACCCTCACGCCTTCTCACCCCATCACCAGCTTCCTAGTGTCTGGCTTCCCCTCTCTATCCGAGATAGGCAACACTCACGTTTTATTTTGATCACCCTGCACTACAGTGGGGTACAGTTGAGGCTGGAGGGGCAGCAGGACCAATACCACCAGGGCATTTCAAAGTGATGGGGGCAGCACTGGGGAGCACAGCCCAGGGCTCCAAGACATGGGGCAGAATCCCAATCTCAATCAGGGTTAACTCTGAGCCCAGCTGTGTATATGGGGTTTGGAGATGGGGGAGCCAGGGGTGACATGAAGCTTTTCCAAGTGGCAATGACAGGGACCAAGTGGTAGAAGGGCCAGTGGGCTGCAGTAAGGAGTATAGTGTGAATTTGAGCTCTGAGCCCTGGCCATTCCTCATCCCAAAGCTAAGCTTCTCACTGCAGCCTTAAGAGGTGGGGTTCCTACCCCAAGGGAAACAGCACCACCGTCTGGCAACCTCAGCACTGCACTGTGCACCCACCCACCCCACGGTGGTCCTCAGCTATAGGGGGAGGAGGGGATCTTCTAAAGAGCGTATCAGGTTTATGAGCAGCAGGCAGCTGGGCCACAACCTGTTTGGGTGTTCAGCCACATACCAGGCCCTCTCTGGCTCGCACCCCATCTTCCTGGGGCCAAATTCTCACTCATCTCTGGAGCCTTAGGGGTGAAGACAAGGCAGAGAGGGGAAGGCCCAAGTCAGAGAACCAAAGAGCCTGGATGCAGGGAAAAGAGGCTCCATGTCAAAGGCACCAAGTCCCCTGTGTGTGACCTTTAACAAGTCACCTCATCTCTCTGAACCTCAGTTTCTTCATCTGCCAAATGGGAATAAAACTGTTACCATGCAGGGTTGCTGCAAGGACTAGATGAGATCATGCAAGTAGATAGAGAATTCAGCTCCAGGCTGGCTTCCAGCTAGAGCGCAGAACATGACCCTTGCCAAGTGGCATCGCCCTGCGCCCCCTGGCTGAGGCTTTCACATCTGCCCATGCTCCCTACCGCTGGCTTTATGACTTCGGGCTCACAGACCCAAAGGCCTGACTTGCCAGAACACCCACAGTGACCTCACCGCCAGCACCCCCACCCTGTGCCCCGATAGCCAGGCATACCTGACGGGCTGGGGATGGGGCTGGACACTCGGGGTGACTCTGGCGGAGCCCTGGGAAAGAGAAAAGAAAGGCAGCGTTATGGAGGAGGCAGGCAGAGAGCTGCCCACGGGCACAGTCGGGGTCATGGGCAAACATAGATCCTCCTCTCCTCTCTCTACCAACATTCCAGCCCCGGCACCCTAACTCCCCAGCCGCACAGCAGCCCAAAGCCCAAAGCAATCGATGCCAACTCCACGTGAGTGTGCCTGTGTGCGTGTGAGCCCCCAAAGAAACAGGCTTTCCTTTCCCTGGCAAGGAAAAAACCCCAGACGCTCAGAAACGGACCGCATCTGGGCTGGTGCCATTTGTACCGAGCACAGACGCAATGTAATAGTTACTGAATTGAGGGCAACTCATTTCATCTTGATTCACTGGCCATCCTAACAGGAAGCCGGAGGGGAGATTATAGACTGCAAGTGTGAGAGAAGAAAAGGTGAGTGATGGCACCCTCTCTCCAGCTCTACACCTTTGTTCTCTGACCATCGTCACCCCACACTTCTCTCCTTTAAAGCAGCAACACCGAGCGATTCAATCAAACATTCAGAGACGAGAGCGGTCAGGCATGACGTGCACCAACCGGGAGCCACTTAGGGCAGCCAGTCGAGCTCCTGAGTACCCACCGCCCATTGTATGTTACCCCCTCTCCCCCCCCCCATTCCAGGCTTGTCAGCTTGCACAGAACTAGGCAAACGACACAAGCTGGTGTCCAAAACATCCCAGGGCACCCAATGGCGCCGCGAGGAAAGCTCGGGTTCAGAGTCCCACGGTACCCAGCTGGGCAACCTTGCATTATCTAATGCTCTGAGCCTCTGCAATGTCACATGTAAAGTGGGGCAATCCCTATGGGTGGTTTGAAGATTAAAAGGAATTACACATATAAGGCGCGTACATGTAGCTACTGTTATTACATCAAGTACAATGAGAAGGGCAGTTAGAGATACAATCCTCCCTTCGCCTCTACAGAAGAGCAAAGCCCTGCATCACCTCTGCCACCAGTTGCCATCCTTTCAGCCACCTTACTAGATGCAGAATTGGACATGCAACTTCTAGAATCCCAGGCCCAGCCGGAGCCCTCTGAGCCCGCTGGCACCTTCCAAACATCCCCGGGCCTCCCAGAAACCAGCTTTTCCCAACCACCAAGTTGCAACCACCTCTTGGAGGAGACGGCATCACAATCTGCCAATGAGAGGAGAAACTGAGGCAACAGTGACTCACCCCCAAGTCCTGATGACTGGCAGGATTTACTCTCAGGCTTCAGGCATGACCTCAAGAACAGGAACCCCCTTCAGCCCTCTCCAGCCCCTGCAGCACCTACAAGGCGGGAGTGGGTGGGCTCGGACACCCAGCTCCCTGTGGAGCCCAACGTCGGCAGCCCAACGTTGGCAGCCCCGCTAAGATGAGGACCCTCCATCCATCGGCCCGGGAGGAGGTTGCGCCCAGAGTCCCCCCTGCCTGGGCTCCCACCCGGCTCTGAGTAGCTCGGTCTCCGCGGGCAGCCGGAGGAGGAAACAGCCAAGTGGGACTGTCGGGGCGGAAAGTTTCTCTGTCTCCACAGCTCTCCTGGCCCTGAGGACTTGGGCTTGCATGAGTCAGGCATGGGGGGGGGGGGGGGGGGGGGGGCGGGGGTTGGTAAGGAGGGTTGTGTTTGGTTTTCAAGCCCCAAACCAGGCTGTTCCAAAACTACCCACCCAGAGGAATGCAGAAGCCCAACACTTCATCTATCTCCATTCTGCTGGTCCCTGACGAGGAGTCGCTGAGCCTCCCCAGGCCGTAGGCCCTGCTCCAGGCACCAGGGCCACCCTGCTATAAATAGCCCCCTCGGGTTTCATCTGTTGCTGATCCACAGCCACTTTTGGAGGAGGCCACCACAGCTGCTTCAAACAACTGGAAGCCACAACTGTAGCCAAGGCATGAAGTGTGGCCAGGACCACAGGTCCAGGCGCAGAGAGCATAGGGAGACAATGGGATACTGAGAGGGGCTTAGCAAGGGGACCAGGGGACCGAGGGAGGCCTGGAGCTCCCACAGCACAGGGGTGAGAAGGATGTGTGGGGCAGGAGAGCTGGCTCCCGTTCTCCACCCCCCTTCCCAACATTACAACACTCCACATTCCTTAGCCTCCCCACCCCAAAAAAGCCAGGGAAGATAAATAAAAACTTGGCCCCAATGGAGTCTGGCCATGCCACCTCCAGAGGCGATAAGACAAAGTCCAAGCCCGCTCTGCCCCACCAGGCTGGCCAGGGAAGGAGGCCGGGGAGGAAGCTGCCCAGGACAGAGACCCCGCCACAGAGGATGGAGACGAACAGCTGGACGGTCATCCTCTGATGAATCACTGGGCCGCCCTCTAACTGATGGGGCTTCCTGTTTTCCACAAACTTCGGGGGCATGTGACAGTCGCTGGCAGAAAGCAGACATGCACGGTGACATGTCTGAGTGTTGGTGGACGCAGAGCCACAGGGAGAATCAGAGAACCACAGATGGGCGGGGCGGGGGGAAGCCATGGGGGCCTGTGAGAAAACACAACCTAATGCTCAAAAACACACAGGTGACCTCACCCACAAGGCTAGAAACGGGCGTTTTCCAGCGTGCCTAATCATGCAGGCCTTTTTCAAGAGGGCTGGGAGACGGTGGCGAGATGCGGTCATCTCTGCCCCCATGCACACTCCCTCCTTCCGGGCACTTTCACTGAGTGCTGCCAGCTGTGTGCCAGGCAGTGTCCCAGGCACCAGGGACCAGAGGAGGAGAGGCCCCTGACCTCAGAGAGCTTATATTCTATAAAGAAAGGTACTCTTCAACAGAGCCCTTGGGCTCACTGAGCAATCTGTAAAATGGGTCCAGCACAGTCTCCTGTGACTTCACATCATTTCCCTGTTCACTTAGAGCTCTTAGAGAACCAGAGGGATCTCTACCAAAGGGTTCTACAAAGACTTTATTTTGAAAAGAAGAATAAGCTCTCTGTCTGCCTGTAATTCCCATTCTTTTCCTCACTGAGGCTCTCAAAGCCCTTTACTCACACAGTTTTGAGCTTCCTCCCAGCCCCTCCCAGGGCAAAGATCAATAAGACTTCTGATCCAACTCCCTAAGCACCAAGAACTCTCCTCTATTGTTGTCACCAAAATAGTCTCTTCTTTGCTGAAAAGACATCACCAAAAAAAATTCCACAGCCTCCCTAAAACAAGGTCTTACTCCTCTTACTATCAGTAAGTTCTTCCTGGTGCCTAACCTTCACCCTTCCTAGTGCAGATCCGGATGACTCTTTTTGCCTTGGTCCTCACTGTTGGTCGCCACGCAGCCATTCCTGAGCACTCAAGGGCTATAGCCATGGGCTCTGTTATCCACCTTCTTCCCCACCACACAGCAAGGAGCAAGAACGCAGGGGCTTGGGTGGGGCTGGTTTAGAGCAACCACTGTGTGGGAAGAGTCTTGCCTTCCTTTGAGGTCCACAGACCAAACACAACAGCTCTGGACCAAAAGAAAAGCTGTTTCCTGAGCCCCAGTCCCCGGGGACACAGTTGGGAGGAGGGTCTGTAAGCAATACCAGGGGCCACGTCAGGCATCCAGAGACTGGTGACGAACCTACGTCAGGAGCCTATCCCCATTCCGATGTCTCCTCTGGGGGCTCTGGCCACCCCTCCCTCAACACCAGCCCCTCCAGCCACACCCCTTCCTCTCTCCTTCCTGCCCACCAGCCTGGATTTTTCCACAACAAAGTGCGACACAGCACACCCTCCACAAACTCTACTACACACCAACCAGCGGAGGAAAACAGCCATTCCTGCCCTGAATCCTGGGCCATGGGCCAGAGACAGGAAAATAGCTCAACAAACAGGCGTATAATCACAGAAGCAGGCCCAGAGCGTCAATCATGTTCCTTGAAAACAGGTCCCCTCACTTGGGGCAGATTGCAGGAGAGTCCAATCACCCCGAAGTCATCCAACCCTGAACAGGTGTCTAAAACCTAAAACTTAGGTCTCTTCTCCTTCTTTGTACTACATAGGCCATTCTCGAATCTGCTCAGCCTTTCACGCACTCCTTAAACTAGACTAACAACCAAAACTTACCTTGTCCCTCCTCCCATATCCAGACAAAACACCATTCTTATCCACCACTTATACATTCATCCTAGATCAACAAAACTTTCTCAAAAAAAAAAAAATTTAAAGAAAAACAAAAAAATAAAAACCTCCAGTCCCAACGAGAAGATCACCTCTTTCTTCCCCAGGACCAAAGTCATACGCACCCTTGTGTCATAAGCTGCTTCGTGATGTCTAACTTCACTCTCTCTCACTGAAGAATCTGACCCAAGCTGGGGTTGTGGGAGCAGCAGCTCTAGGATTTATAAGAGTTTCCAGACCATTGGCTAAAAGTCTCGGTTCACACACCCTGTCCCCCAGCCAAGGGTTGGGAGTCCTGGGTAACACCAGACCTAAGCAAGCAGTGGTCCCAGGAAGAAAAGGACAAGGCATTGAGTCATTGAGCCCCTCCAAGCCTCTGTGCACTTATCTACAAAATGGGGTCACAGCATCTACCATAGGGGATGTCATGGGGATCCAAAAATACCAGCGCCTGGCCCACAGCCAAAATAGCAGTCATAAGAATAGCTACCATTTATTGAGCACATAGCATATACTTTGTGGGCATTAAGCTAGTTAATCCTCCTTAGTGGGGACATAAAACATTAATTTTTCCCCTGCACCCCAGCCCCAGAAACATCACAGACTGAGACAGGGCTCCCCCACCAACACGAGTGCTCCATGCCCACAGGGCCCACCATACCTTGAGCAGAGCCTTCCCCACTGATCTGAGCGGCATGCTCCCGCTCCTCCTGGAGGGCGCCTCCCCTCCGCCGTGTAGGGCAGCCCCAGGGCAATGTGGCAGTGGCGGTGGGCTCACCACAGAAGTGCTGCCGCCTGCAGAAGCTGCCTCCTGCAGCCCCAGCACCTCCCTCTGGGGCCCTCCCCACCGTGGGTCAGGCAGCTGTCAGATGATAGGGCCTCATGCCATCAACAGCTCCCCCTGTGCCAACCGCCAAAACCACTCCCTGTTCCTCTGCAGATCAGGGCGGGCAAGGATGGAGGGGCCAGCAGAGGGGCAAATTATCCGAGAAGGGCAGGAAAGAAAGAGGAAGGCCCAGCTCTGTCGGGCATCTGCCCCTGCAGTGTGAGGACGAGCCCCAACACAAGCATTGCCCAAAGCAGGGTCCTGGGAGAGGCCCCTCTGCCCTCTGCTGGGGTCCTTCCATTTAAGGAACGTGCTCATTGACTTTCACCAAAAATGCATGGCGGGAGGAACAGGGTGGACCAGCTGGCCCTCCTTCCAGCTTCCCCCTGAATCAAGGGCACATAAGCCACACAAAGGATTCTGCCATTTTCAAAGGCTTCTCTCTCCAAAGAAGCAGAGCCTGCAATTCCCCAAGGTCCGATCACCCTCTAAGGGCTCAAGAGTCCCTCTTCGTCTCTGCCTTTAGTCCCTCTTACTAGTGTTGCCCATTCCCCTGCCCTCACCTTGGTGACTACTCACCTACCACCCAGCCAGGCCTCACAGAGCCAGCCACCACCCCCCACCCTCCCACCCTGGCAAAGTGATGGGCATATGAGCTCTGGACCCATATGAAGGCCAAGGCCAAGACTGAGGCCCAGGGTGTCAGCAGAGGGGGCCTGCTCAACGTCCAGGCCCCTCCTCCGAGGCTCAGCGACCAAGCTGGACAACTCGTGCCTGCCCTCTGGAGAGGAGGGAGGGACACGCCACCCAGCAAGACAAGTGTGAGACATCAGCCACCCACCCCCATTCCTTCCGAGCGCCAGGGGCCCAGCCACATCCTTCTCCACCCCCGCCCCATACTTACGTCTTCCTCAAGACTTTTCCGAGTGTTTCCACCCCGGAAGGCTCCTTCTCCCTGGAGACAGAGACAAGGCAGTCAGAGAGGGGAGTCAAGGAAAGCAACCGAAAGGCCCCAGGTGTAGCACCTGCTGGGTTTGGCAGGGGTCGGGGGTGAGGGGATTGGCAGAAGGGCCTAGGGGGACTTGATTGTTTGTTTAACATTTCTTTGTCCACTAAAGGTCTCGCTCAGCGTTAATCAAACCCTCTTCTCTGTGTCCGATGACAACTGTGTGAAATATTATTCTCATCTTTCAGATGAGAAAACTAAGGCAGACAGGTTCATGACTTGTCTACAGTCACACGTTTAGAAGCTTTGGGGAGTTAGGATTTAAACCCAAGTCTTCTATTGCAATCCATTCAAGTCCGGCCATGGGCAAGAGATGCCTCTCAGTGGCTAACCTCAGTTTCCCCACTGCAGGACCCACTGACTTTTTTCTCTTCCTCTTCCATGCAGCCTTGAGGAAACTGTCTGTCTCTGCTGAGTCAGAAAGATCTATTTGGAAAGATCTGCTGGCTTTCTCAATGTCTCCATATTTAATTGAGAAACCCACATCTAACCACTGGCCTCTCTCTCTCTCCCTCTCTCCGCTCCCACTCCCGCCTCTCCCACTCCGCTGGCCCAGCTTCCCAGTGATACATTTCCAAACACACAAACTCCCAATGTCACTCTTATCCCCACCACTTCCCCCAAGTTCCCCATATCTACTCCAGAAGGATGTCCCCAAACACGTCTGTTCACTTTCCCCAAATCCATCTTCTGCTTCCCAGCCTCCCCAGGCTGCTCCGGGCCACTGTGACCCACCCACTGTCACTCACCGTGTCCACTACATTCTTTGGTGCACTCTCGGTGTTGATAGGCTGCGGACAAAGAGAAAAGGCAATGTGAGGCCTCAGGGCAAACATCCCCCAGGGGGCTCTCTCTCCAAGGCCGGTGGCCGCACGGGGCAGAATGCCTCCTGAGGCAGGACATGACGCCAGCCTAAGACTCAGATGGAACCTGGCTGTCCCCAAGTTGGGAGGCACAGTTCGGACAATAAAAAACATCCTATTCGTTCTATAAACATCCAGTCTGACACACCTCACCCAGGCCCCTGAGTCAGGCAGTCGCTGATCCCTCGCAAAAGAACAAGAGCAAGTAACAGTCACTGTCCCAACACACCAGGCATTTCCATCAATGCTGTCTCATTCAGGACAAGAACCCTGTGAGGTAGGTACCATTATTACTTTTGAGCCCCGTTCTACAGATACATACAAGTTAAATGAGTGGCCCCAAGTCATCAGCTAGTAATGGGGAAAACAGGATTCGAACCCCACCTTTGTGTGAAATCGCCACAGCACGGGATGGGAGGCCTGTCAGAGTCCTAACCCTGCCTTTCAAGGCCTTCCGCCATTGGCCCTGCCCCCTCAAACCTCAGGTTTCATGCTCAAAGCTCTGCTCCATCCAGAGCTGCCCCGTAGACCCCCTTACTCATTTCCCCATCCTTGTGGAACAGCTTCCCCTCTTTTCCTACAAGCTCTCCTCCTCCTTGAAGCCCTCCCTGAACACCCCAGCAAGAAGGACTCTCTCTCCCACCTTTCAACTCCAATACGTCTTGCTGTCTGTGCCATTTATCTGGTCATTAGCATAGAACAGCATAGCATAGAATAATTGCATCATAGGACTATGACTTGTTTTATTTGTGATCCTTATCCTGCCTGCCTCCAAAACAGATACAAAGCATTTTTACCAATTCGGTTGCCATATCCCTCCTGACAGGGACAGCGATGGATGGAGAGCAGGCCATCGATAAACACCTGTGGACCAATCCTGCCCCTCACCCCGGTGCCACTCTTCCCCTGCCCGGACCAACAGAAGTGCTTTCTGCTAAAGGCATCCTTAAAAGCGGGCTCCTAGGACTCCCCTAAAACAGGAGCGAAGCTCCCCAATCCAAGGCCACCTCCTGACCACAGTTTCTGGGGCTCCGTTTCCAACTCAGTGAAGTGGCTAAAAGGCGCCCTTGAACCATGTAGAAGGTCACGAGCACAACTGTGCTCTGCTGAGACGAGCATGCGCCAGGATAAGACAGAGAGTCTCAGAGTCGGAAACGCCTGCCCCATCCCAGCCCCGGTACCTGGGGCCTGGCTCTATGTGTCTAAAGACAGAGGAGTTGACGGAATGACCACTGAAAGGTTCTGGCACCAGCGAGAAGCGGGCCAAGACGGACACGCAGGAAGACAGCCAGCTCAGCTGCAGGCTGCCGCGCTCCTTCTGGCAACAGCCCAGACTTTACCCCTGCTGCCTAGAAGACGGTGACGGAGGCCAAAGCTTCCTTCAGGGGATGAAACCTCCTGAGCAGCTCAGGGCCAGGGAGAACAGGGTCCAGGGATGGGGTAGGAGGTGGGGAGCACATCAGTCAGCCCCTCCAGCCCCCAGGTCCGCTCACTTGGAGTCTGAGGATGGCTCTGGAGGAGTTCGGGGTCCACATTCCACCCATTCCCAGTCCAGCCCTAATCCTCACCCAGCCACCTCCCAGGGCTCCACTCCTGAGCCACAGGCCACTGTGCAGGGGGCAAATGAGCCCACTGGGAAATCCTGGCCCTCTGACCCCCACCTGTCCCTTCAGGTCCACAGCTCTGTAATGAGCTCCCCTGGAGACCTCAGGCTGGGCCGGACTGCTTCCTCTCTGGCCCCCAGAGGAGGAGGAACCCTCCTGGAGGGCAGATCCCAGGGACCATCTGTCTGCAGAGGCTACGTAGCAGAACTGAGCTCTGAACCCAGCTCTCACGACTCCAAAGCCCGCACTCTTCACAGTCCGCTGAACCAGCCTGCCCAGGTAGGGTGGCTTAGAAAGGACAGAAACACGGGGTGAGATGGAGAAGCTGGAGACGAAGCGCCTGCCCAGGCTATTACAGGCCCCGAAGAGCCCTCATCCTGCTCTGGGTGAAGCCTCCTAGGTGGTCTCGACTCTCCCGAAGAGCAGAGTGTGAGCCAGGGGGCCTTGAACTTGAGAGTGCCTCAGAAACACATGGAGGCTGTTGACACGCAGGTGCTGGGCCCTGTCCCGAGGGGTGATCCCTTAGACCTCTGGAGGGGTGCAAGAATGTGCCTTTCTAACAGGTTTCCGGGTCTGGGGGTGACACTTTGAGAAGCCCTGGTCTAAGCCAACGGCAGCGACAGCAGACCTCCGGGGCCACATCCTGACTCTACTGCTAACCGTGTGACCTCCAGCAGGCCACGTCGTCCTTGCTGCTCCTCAACAGGACAGAGAGGCTGTATGTTGTAAGAATCAAATGAAAGGAAGCACATCAAGCACTTAGAACAGGGCCTGGCACTTAGGAAGTGCTCAGTAAATGCTAGCAGTTATTTATCCTCTCCACCCCACACACTCCCCGGGCCCTCCCATGGCCCACCCTGCCCCACCTTGACCCTCCTGCCCCACCCCTCCCTTGTCTGGCATGAAGGAGACCAGGGAGTTGGAGTCAATATTAGAAACCACAGGCCTCAGCAGTGCAAGAGAAACTTCTCTCTCTGCCAACAATCATCCGAGCACCGTCCTCTTGGCCCCCACCCCTTCCCCTGTGCCAGCTGGAGACGGGCCACGGAGAGACGCTTGCCAGCCATCAGATGCCTTCATCTTACTGGTCAAGATGCTTTCTGAAGAGCTAAAAATTTCCAAAAACCCCTCCTGACCTAAACACCCAGCATTTTCCTGCAGTGTTTGCAAACACAGCCCAGCATGCACGCTGGGCTCTCCACCCCTCCCCTCTGCCCCAGTCCTCCTGGGACTGAAGTCCTGCTTCTCTGTTTCCCAGGAACTGCCAGCTCTGGGATGACTGGGAATGATAAAAACAAGGGACTAGTACCATGAGGGTGGGTCTCCCCTGAGGCCAAGCCTGCTCCAGGCCCTGCAGGGAGACTAGGGTTTGCTCCTAGGCCACCCCGAGCTATGAACTCCTGAGGTGGCAGCCCCAGAGTTCCAATGGCTGGCAGGGCCCCTTCAGCACACAAACACACCCACCTACCCCCACACACGTGCACACACATGCACAGAGAGCGACTGTTCCCCTCTGTCCCCTTCCACTGCCCAGTCCCGGGAGAAAACCTGGATCTTAAGGACCCAGGCTTTCCAAAGCGGAGGGCAGCTGACCATAGTCCCACCGGAGGTTTTCCTGAGCTCCCCCTGCCTCCAGGGAGGACAACTCAAATCCAGCTCAGGAGCAGGTGGCAGGGTTTGGACCTGGTGCCTCTTGACAACCAAGTCTTGATCCTCGAGGGTCACTCTATTCTAGGATCTCAAACCCGGGAGTCTGCTACAAGGCAGGGACTGGGGGGAGGAGCCAAGGGAAGAAAATTTAAGGAGGCATTCATTCTCAGGTTGCTCCAAGTGCATGAGCATAATTCTGAGAGCAATGCCTCCTCAAGTTATGCACCCTGGGCGCCTCACTGGCCTACCTCTTCCTGGCCCTGGTCTGGAGATGCCTTTCATAATGTTAACGTGATAACAACAATTACTCATTAAGTGTTAATGCAGGCCTGGGCATAGTATTATGTTCTTTGCTTCCATGATCATCAGCCCTCACAACCAAACTCATAACCAATGTGCACAAGGTAAGCATTAACCCATTTTACAGTCGAGAAGACTGAGGGTTACACAGCTCATAGGTAAGAGGGCTGGTATTTGAACCCTGCTCCTTACATCCATCCCTTCACATTCCATCTCCTCTCCCTGGAGATGATTCCCCACTCAGTTCCTCTTAGCCTTAAATCAACTGCCCTCCTGTTGGGAACAAGTTTTCTGAGACTTAAAAGACTAATTGTCTCAGGTCCTCCCAAGGGAGAGACGTCTCCAGTACACTTCCATAGGAAGAGGAGGAAATGGGCTGCAGTAGGAGAGACTGAGATCAGACATCAGAGAGAACTTCCTGAATGTGAGCGGCTGTGAACCACAGGGTGGATAAGGGAAGCTGCACATCCTTTCCTCAGTGTTTTTCCCAAAAAGATATGCATGCCCTCTCCAAGCTTGCATGTACCCACTGCCAACTGTGTGGGTCCCAGCAGAGGCCGTTCTGCAGAGGCTGGCGGGGTGGGGCTGGGATGACTGCCTGGACGTTCACACAGTAGGACCTGTTGGTGGCTTGCAGGGAGGGTGGGCTGGGAAAAAATGTATCTGTGGGCTGCTGTTTTGGAGGAAGGAAAAGACAGAGGGCCATAGCGGGCGGGGAGTTGGGGGGTGGCGGGGGGGGGGGGGGTGGGGGGGGAGGTGCCCAAGCCTGGCGCTGGGGGGAGGGGCTGGCTTAGAATGCGGACTCAGCCTCCAGAGGAACATTCCGTCCAGAAATTCCTCACACCCTCCCCCCTCCCATCCCTCCAGCTCTCCCCTCTCTTGCCCCCTGGGAGGCCTGGAATCTGGGCAGCTTTTCCGGGCAAAAAGACCCCGTGACATCACATCTACTGCCATGGCAACAAACTGTGAGGTCACGGGCAGCACTGCCTGTGAGGAGGGGAGGGAGCTGGCGGGAAGGGCCGCAGGGGCTGGAATGTCCTCCTCGGCCCCAGGACCCAGAGCAAGTTATTCCAGGCTCTCTTGTTCTAAAAATAGATCCCTAAGCAGATGAAGGGAGGGGGCTGAAAGCAAAAGAGAAGAGCAGGGCAACGCCATTTACTGGACACTTCGGCGGGGGGAGGGTGACAAGGATGGCACATGGCACGCCCCACAGCCTGTCGGGGGGAACCAGCAACAGATAACAACAAAAACAACTGCGGCAGTGGCTGCAGCCGCCACAGACCAAGCGCTTTGAACCCCTTCTGAAAAATGAGGAAACTGAGTCTCCAGGGAGGTTGGGCAGCTCCATATGAGCTCAGGTCTGCACCTCAGCCT